TTTAGATAAACTCAAGTAGAGCAGAAAATTGCATCCAAGCTAAGATATGTGAGACACTTAACTGCATTAAATATTTGGGGGGTGGGGGGAGCCCACTAATATATAGCAGAAAACTGCTCATATCTAATTAAGTTAAAGGGACATTGTCAACTAATTACTCACGACCTTAAAAGTATTCATCGTCTCAAAACTTTTTCATCCTAAAATCAATCCCTTTCCTGCACTGGTCATTTTCTATTGTCTGTGTGTCTAAATGATTCTAAGTGTTGCTTTCTACCTACCCTACCCTCCAGCTGATGGTGTTTTATTTTGCAAATAAAAAATATAAGCCTGAATGAACTCATCTTAAAAGCAAACGCAAAGACTCAATGAAATTTTAAATTGTATATTGGCACTGCAGTCTCTCCTTATTTCTTCAATTTATAGTTATCAGAATCTTTTCAGCTTGATTGAAGCATTCTGTGCATCTCTCAACTGTCCTAATATTATATTCTTGTTTCATAAAGATTCTTGCTTTATATTAGATAAAGATGAAATGAGTAGCTGCAGGAATGCATAGCAACTCACAGTAATTCTCCAAGCTCTGGCTGTTCTTGAGAGAAGCCGAAGAGGGAATGCCAGCTTTACTGCCAGTGAGGGTGACAATGTGAGAAGTGTGAGACGGGAACAGCCAACCAGCAATCCAGTTCCCATGCAACTCATTTCCAGAATCGCATTTTTGGGTCCACTCATTGGGGCCTGACCCAGTAGAAGTTATAAGCCTCTGAAGAGCAGAGGCTGGAAGGAAGAGTATTCCTACAAAATCACTTGAAGGAATCAAAATATGGCCAAGAAAAATGCCTGAACCCCTTTTCTCTGGAAAGCACATAGGTAAAGATATCCACTGAATGCCTCTCAGGAGTATAGGCTGGATTAAAAATTAAAAAGAGTTCCCATTTATTAATCTCTCAGTTTGAAAGGAAGATCACTGCGCTCTCATCTATAAATTGAACATATTTCATGATGAATTATCCGGGGCTCTACAGAAGAGAGGTCAGTGGATTAACTTGGAGCTGTCAAATACTTTCCAACAAATTCCACTCCTTGAAAGAAGAAAATACACTCTCTTAACGATAATTCTCATACACTGTGTCGACCAAAGGTATTTCTCACACAATGGCAAACTGTGGGCCATGTCCCTGAAATTTAGGTTGCAAACATGAAGCATAATTGATCACCATTTGGGTTTTCTTTCTTTCTTTTTTTTTTTTGTCTTTTTTCATGACCGGTAAGGGGATCGCAACCCTTGGCTTGGTGTCGCCTGCACCGCACTCGGCCAGTGAGCGCACCGGCCAGTCCTATATAGGATCCGAACCCTCGTCGGGAGCGTCACTGCGCTCCCAGTGCCGCACTCTCCCGAGTGCGCCACGGGGCTGGCCCCACCATTTGGGTTCTTTATGCCAGCCTTATTCTTGGTTGAATTAAGTGGATTGTAGACTCAAAGAAAATAATACAGGGCTTAGAGGCAGAATAAAATAAAAACACCAAAGTTTCCAGTTCCAGGTTTTGAGTCAAGTGAAAATGCTTTGACGTTTGCTCAAGCATAGTTAAGTATTCTAGGTATCTCAAAAATAGCTGAGCATTTGAAAAAACTCTCACAAGCAAACACAATTAGGTCTGAATGTCAAACCTTTTTTTTTTTTTTTTTTTTTTGGCCCTTTATAATTAGAGTGACAAATTTCTGAAAGATGGCATTACATAGCACAAAAAATAGAAAAGCATTACCTTTAAGCAATAAGGGCATGAACGGGATTTTTGGTGGCTTCATCTTTTTGAATGCATCTCTGTAGGCTTTGTGATTTAGGGAAGGATCCTGCCGAACCAAGCAGATTACAAAGAGAAAGAAAAATCAATGTGCTATAGAAACAATTCTAAATCCACTTCTGCTATACAATTTGAACATGATTTAGATAGAGAGGTTTTTTTCTAAGAATAAAGTAGATAAAGGTTTCCTAGGAGAATAAACTCACTAAATTAGGGCAGAAAATCCAGGCAGTGAATAAAATTCAAGTTATTGGTTTACAATAATGGGAAATGACTGCAAAAGAGAGACAGCTTTTGATTACCCTATTATTTTCCTCAAATAGGTTTGTTAAGTACAGTTTCCTTTGCATAATTTCTATCATGAGGCAACTCAATGTCTTTTGTTAGGTACAATGCAAAGAAAAACTGCCCTCATAATGCATGGGTGACACACAGAAATAAGAGAACATTGTTTTATTGTGTTCTAAAAAGAAACAATAAATTTTGTATCTCAGTCTAAGAAATCGTAAAAAGGAGAAAGGAAGAAAAGAATAACACATGAGACACTAATTGCACACTAAATTTATAAGGATTAATTTCATAGGCTTTGAAATAAACTGTATTTAAAAATCTGCCTTCTTAAAAATCACACTAAAAGGACTATTCTCACTACCTTTTTACATGGAGAAGAAGAAACATTAATTGTCAACTCGCTTCACTACGTAAGAAACAAAGCTACACTTTCATACACAAGGAAACCAGGCTAAGCTACCTGACACTGTGGAGTGCAGATCCCAACCACTGGAATCTAGAAAGAAACTAGATACTAGCAATTAATTTGAAGGTAAGTCCCCTTTGGCTCAACTACTTACTGTTAAACTTTCAAGTTCAGAGAAAAGTTTCTTAAACTTCCCAGGGATTTTCTAAAAAACAAACGAATACAAACAAAAAACAAAAGGTCACAGAAGTCAGTTATTTTGAGAGGTACCAAAGGGAGTTTTCATTAAGCTGTGCTGCTCTGTGTCCCATGTCTGAACATAAATAAATATCTCTATAATCTACTCTGATTTCTTCTCATTATGCAATTTTCTTCATCCCCTCAATGTGACATTCCTTAGGAATGTTGCTAAAAACAGTTTAAAATAACAGCCACGTGATTCAGGAATCTGGCGGGTTAGACATTCCACATACTGGTGATTATTTAATAAAAACTTAGACTTCAGTTGTATGTTCTACTTCGGACGAATGCTCTCATCTTCTTAATAGCCTTGCTGAGTGGGAAATCATAATGTTGGCTGATACTGGTGATTATTTAATAAAAACTTAGACTTCAGTTGTATGTTCTACCTCGGACGAATGCTCTCATCTTCTTAATAGCCTTGCTGAGTGGGAAATCATAATGTTGGCTGACATTTTTTTATTAAATGATATAATTGTATTTCACAGCAGAGGGCTAAATAGTGAAGGGCCATGAAAACCTTCAGTGACGCACCCTGCACTTTAATGAGTAGAATCACTGAATTGTAAGGCTCAACCACATCAACAGGAGGCATGCAACAGAGGATGCGAACATATGCCATCCTCCCAAATAAGAATCCAGGCCTAAGGAAGAAGGGTCTGGAACGTTGTAGCCTGCCTTTGACATGGGTAAGTGAAAACTGGCTTCGTCATCTTCTGCGGTAAAGAGCACATATTGCAAGTCAGCCTGAACCTTAATTCTGACTCTGCCCCTTTCTGGCCGTGTGGTTTGGTATGAGTCTCCAAGCTCTCTGATTTGTTTCTGCAGCTGAGGCTTAATTTTTAGCCATCAACATGACAGTGTTCAAGAAGATAATTTGTGTGATTTTGTTTCTAAAATGAATCAAAAAATGAGGCAAACCCCACAATAATCAGACTTTTAAATTATTTAGAAATAGATTTTTCAATTTGATAATTTTGAATCTGGACTCAGTTTATCACAGAAAACAGGTAGTTTAATCTGTTTGGAAACTACTGCCATACA